AAAAAGTTGTTAAACATCTGAGTGGTGCACTACTGCTACTAGTGGTGAGAAAGTGTATTACACCTTATTTAAAATCAATGTGGTCCCACGGCCCTCTGCGGCCCAAAGTTAAAAACTCATGGCCCACAATTGGGCCGCGGCCCATAGGTTAAGAATCTCTGATTTATACACTGTAAAGGGGTGAATAGGATCTTTAACATCACAAAMTAAGGAAATGTACACCTGTAAGTCATTTGCATAACTGATAGTGTATTTTTCTGAATGTCATGTACAAGTGGAGATGTAAAAGTTGAAAAAAATAAAATAAAACTGGACCTTGAGTTATAAAAAAACAACTTCAGAATTAAAACAACTACTGTTAAAATCACCACTGAACACAAATAATTATTTGTAATCTCTTTTGAAAATCTGGTTGGAACTGAAAAAGTCAACCAATTTTTCTAACTTGTTTTATCATGATTAACAATATAGAAAGGGGCACTAATATTGAGAGGTATAAAGACAATTTCTTTAGTGTTTATAACTAACTAATCTCCAGTTTTAGTGAGTGCCATTTTTGTGCTGTGGTTTCACCAAAAACCAGAGTGATGAATATCAATGACATCATTACACTGAATATAAAAACTAATCTTGAGTCTAAACAGCTTTTTCAAGTATTTCGCTGAGAAATTTTAAATTTAAGTTTTGTAATTACAAATCACASTTGGATCTATGCTTCTTTCCTTTGTAAGCAATTTGAGATTTGTATGGAAAAAAAATCCCTGATAGAAGAGAACAGTTTATGCCACCACAAATGATAGTTAATTTTTAAGTTGTTGGAGCAGGATCTGAACAGTAAATAGATTACCTAAACTGTTTAACAATATTATTCAATTGTTTTAACTTTAGCAGCTCAAAAATGTGATATGSCCCAAAAGTTGGGGTGTGGTTAATTTTACATTCTGTCCTGTATCAGTAATTCTGTGATTAAAAAGTAAAGCAAATTGCTAACATTGTTCTACAGAATTCTCAAAGGTGAATTTATTATTCTGTTGACTGTASAGAAAAGTTTTTAAGAATAATTTCATTGATCATTATATGTTTCCTTAATGTGACTTCACTGCTTAGTGATGGTTTTGCCACCATTACACATGTGTCAGCCAGGATCTTCTTTGTCCTCTTCCACATTCTGGTTGTAATTATCATTGTCAAGTAAGAACCAACACCTCCCCATCTGCTGTCTGCTGTCTGCCTCATAAACTAACTGAGAAAAATCCAAATAATGTTATTCACCCTCTTCACTGACAAGTATATGAAATACATGTTTTTTATTGGGTCTCTCACTCTTTGTCACCTTTCAGTATCTTCGTAGCGTTTGTTCTTGAGGCATTCTTTGTGGAGTACTCCATGGATAAAAACGACCTACAGACATCTCTAGAGAAGAAAATTGAGGAACTGGAGCTTGCTGTGGCACAGTATGTTATTACAACTTACAATATCTTTGCATATACACTCACCGGCCACTTTATTAGGTACACCACGCTAGTAACGGGTTGGACCCCCTTTTGCCTTCAGAACTGCCTCAATTCT